AATTTAAGCTTGTTTCTAAGACTTGGGTGGGAGTGAGCCACAAAGTGATGAGCTGGCTCACTTGTCTATAAGGAGTACCTCGGCCATGACCATATGTTCCAATTAGACTAATCCTGTAGGGAATCAATTAGAAAAAGGGAACCAACATTTTCTGAGTAGATTGTTCTGTGTCCATGAGATGCCCAATATGAAATACCTCTGAGCTGTCCTCAGCATGCAATAGTGTCTCAGTTTACCTGTTCTATATTCAGCATCTTTGAATATATTATAACTGAATGTCTCAGAACTATAATATTCTGAAGCAAAACTAAGCTTAGAATCTTCAACAAGTTGAAACTCATCACTCATCCACCCTTTTGTTTATTCTCCATCCATCCATCCATCCATCCATCCATCCATCCATCCATCCAGGAAATATGTATTGAGTGCTTACTTAAACACTGTCTTAAGATCTGAGGATACAGTGGTGAACAAGGCAGGCAAGAATCCTGTCTTATAAGAGCTTGTGTTTTAGTGCGGAAGACAGTAAACAACTGAATTACAAAAATAAATTTTCATAGAGGTAAGATCGTAAATGATATTTAAAATGGTGTTGCGATGATAATTAGAATGTGAGGTGGGGAGAAGACTATGGGGCTGAGATTAAAACGATGGGAGCCAGCAATAGAGAGGTTGGGGTAAGGGTTTTCAAGGCAGAGAAAACTGCAAAATACAAAGGTCACTCAACAGGGTTAAATTCCATATACAATCCCCTAGGGGAGGATTAGTGGTGCCTTTTTATATATTAATTTAAAAATAACTTTGAGGATTATATGAAAGTGGTGTGTGACTACAGACTTGAAAACTTTAATTCCTTTTACTAGTAGTTTTCAGACTGGCATATGTAGTAAATAGATCCCTTGTTACTGATGAACTTTGTATTGCTCTAGAAAGTGAGTTGGCCGAGCAAAAATAAAACTATAATTTTGAATTTGCAAAATTATGCTTTAAATATTTACTTGCTGTTATTCCTTGTGGAATAATAGATGCGTAAGGAAGTTACAGGAATATGGACATGATCTCTCAGTGATGGTTTTACTTACTGTGCCATTTAGGTGATGATGATTCATCCAGTATACTTTTTTATTTGTGGAGGAGATGGAGTCTTGCTTTGTGGCTCAGGCTGGAGTGCTGTGGCGGGGTCTCAGCTCACTGCAACGTCCGCCTCCTGGGTTCAAGCTATTCTCGTGTCTTAGCCTCCCAAGTTGCTGGGATTACAGGCATGTGCCTCCACGCCTGGCTAATTTTTGTATTTTTAATAGAGACGGAGTTTCACCACGTTGGCCAGGCTGATTTCGAACCCCTGACCTCAAGTGTTCCACCCGCCTCAGCCTCCCAAAGTGCTGGGATTCCAGGTGTGAGCCACCGTCCCTGGCCCATCCAATATATTTTTAACATCTGCTGTATCTCATAACGAAGCAAGAAATACCAAGTCAGTGTCCATTATACAAAATATAGGAGCTAAAAGTGTGAAATTTTATTCCTTGTTCTGCAGTTATTATGGAGAAGTTCAATAATAACACACTTTTATTGAGGCTCACTAAATTCATGACCTGTGTTAGTTATGTGGCATAGATGGAGTTCCCAATGTAGAAGTGAGACAGACACAAATAATGACCTCTACCACAATATTTTAAGTGCTATAATAATGATAATAGTGCCACAGCTCTAAGGGAATAGAGTTCCCCTATATGTTATAAGCCTTTATCAGACTTAAAAAATTTAGCATTTAATGGGATTTTTAAAATTCAGAAATTAAGAATGATTAACACTTTCTACATTGAGGAGGTATTCTCAATCAAAACCCAAATAGTGTGAAACCATAGGGAACTCATTTCTCATTATTAACACTGTTTTTTTTATTTTAAATGTCGTATCCTCTAATGATAATACCTCTACCCAACAGGCAAAAATTCCTTTCCTTATAATCTCCGTATAATATTATATTTCTTATGATGATATATCATATCCTAATGATGTTATTTTATGGTAAGTATCCTTAGATGTTTAGCAGAAACTGAGTGTAATTTGTATGAACCTGTAAAATGGAACTCAAGCTTGGAGTCTTAATTCAGGGATATACATTTACAGTATAGGAAAGGGGCAATTATGATTAGGTAGGTCTAGAATGTGAAACTATGAGGTATTAGTATAGTGAATGTGTTGACAATGTTTTCCTCCCAGCCTTTTCCCTGAACTACTTATATAGTTATAGCAAGATGATGAAGTTAAGGAGCAGTGATGAGATGAGTTCTAGAAATAACTCCGTCTATATTGAAAATTAACTTAAAAACCAGTTACTATCAGATAAATGTATTTAATGACTTTTTATGATTAATCTACAACCTGAGAGTAACAGAAAGGAATAATTGGGAACTGGTGAATGCTTTCAACTGATTTGATTAATTAACATGCTAATTGGAGACTATATTGTTTTACATTTTAATAACTGTTTTCACTTATTTTTTTAGAAAGGCTGATAACTCTGATATCTTTCAGTAGATGTGGGTTATGTATAATGGTATATATTAAATTTTATTTGCTGGATTTTGTGGAATCGAATATACATATCTTAACTAGGAAAATTAATAAGAGGATTTTTGAATGCTTATCCTCTGGATTAAGGAGGACTAGCTAATATTAATTCTAATGCCTGAATTGTAAATTTAAGCACCCCTGTCAATGACACTTTGTGTAATTCAAGTTCATATTCTATTCAGGTCATGAGCACCAGCACTGTAATTTTTTTTTTAAATGAGGTCGAGGAAAATGTTGAGATATATACAACACAATTTTAACACATCAGTTCTGTGATCAAGAATTTTTAAGCGTGTAGCACTCTGCACACATTTTTATATAACAAAATAAATATTCTGTGCATTATTTTACTTAAAAATTTTTTAAAAAACATTGTCTAAAATGGTATCTTTGTTTATTTTTTAGGGTGGGCTGAAAAACAGCAAACATGAATGCACCCTGTCTTCACAAGAATATGTTCATGAATTACGATCGGGTATATCAGATGAGAAACTTCTTAATTGCCTAGAATCCCTCAGGGTTTCTTTAACCAGCAATCCAGTCAGGTAAGTCGTTATTATCATTTTGGTATGATTCATACAATTTGTAGTGTATGTAATTGTTTGGGAATATAATAAGTTTTGTTATTTAAACCTCAGGATTTTCTGACTAAAAGTCTGATGTTAATAAAGCAGCAGCATCTGATTGTGAAGTTGTAAACTTTTAAAAATATATTTAGTTGGATCTCCAGTAATGTACAATTTTAGGAATACAAATATTAACATAGAGCCAGAAGTTAAATGTCCACATTTACATGGAAATCTATTTGTGGGCTCAGATAATTATTATATATTTATTTATTAAGCAAATTAAGCATATTTGCTCCATGATTTTATTCTTCTTTGTGTGTGTGTGTGTGTGTGTGCGAGACGGAGTCTCGCTCTGTCGCTCAGGCTGGAGTGCAGTGGCACGATCTCGGCTCACTGCAACCTTCGCCTCCCAGGTTCAAGCAATTCTTCTACCTCAGTCTCCTGAGTAGCTGGGACTACAGGCGCGCACCACCATGCCCGGCTGATTTTTGTATGTTTAGTAGGGAAGGGGTTTCACCATAGTGGCCAGGCTGGTCTCGAACTCCTGATCTCGTGATCCACTTGCCTCGGTCTCCCAAAGTGCTGGGATTACAGGCGTGAGCCACCGTGCCTGGTCAATTTTATTCTTTTAAAACTTGAAAGGTATATATAACTTCATGTTCTTCTATAAGTTTTAGATATACTCCACATATTTCTGTAATTTTGAGATAGCAAAAAGTGAATTATTTTAACCAGTAAAAGAAATGAGAGCATTAATAAACTCCTCAAAACTCAACTAATTTAAGCTATTAACTAACTACAAAGGATTGTTAGGAGGTTACTTGCCAATGGTGGATTCCAGTAACTGTGGTTCCTTTATTAAGCCTTTAAATCAATAACACCCAAAATAAAATATTTTATAAAGAAAAACAAAATTTCAATAAAATATCAAAACATTCTTGGCCGGGCATGGTGGCTTACACCTGTAATCCCTGCACTTCAGGAGGCTGAGGCAAGTGTATTGCTTGAGTCCAGGAGTTTGAGACCAGCCTGGCCAACATGGTGAAACCCCGTCTCTACTAAAAATACAAAAAAGTCAGCTAGATGTGGTGGTGTGTGCCTGTGGTCCCAGGTATTCAGGAGGCTGAGGTGGAAGGATCACCTGAGCCCGGGAGGTGGAGGTTGCAGTGAGCCCAGATCCCGCCACTGCACTCCAACCTGGGAGACAGAGCCAGACCCCGTCTCAAAAAAAAAAAAAAAAAAAAAAAAATCTGGGATCTATTTGTATAACTGCTAGAAGTTCAGAATTTACTCCGTAAGAGTATATAAAAAACTTACTGTGATTTTATCCATGTTTTTCCTAATATGTAATAGGCGTAAATCTTGTACTTTTCTGTCCTTTCCACAGAGCCTTGAAAATAATTTAGAGCTCAGTCATTCAGTTTGGATTTATGTATAAATTGAAATATATTAATTACTCATTTATAGTGCACTTGGCAAAAAATACCTGGAAAATTACAATTTTAAAACAACAAAAAATTTTAAAAAGCCAGTGTTAAGATGTGACTTATCTTAGAGTATGATAATCATTGAAAGACGATTGTCTTGCTATTTCTTAAAAAATACTCCTAGGTTTTTTTTTTTTTTTTTTTTGAGATGGAGTTTTGCTCTTGTCACCCAGGCTGGAGTGCAGTGGCGCTGTTTCGGTTCACTGCAACCTCTGCCTCCTGGGTTCAAGTGATTCTCCTGCCTCAGCTTCTCCAGTAGGTGAGATTACAAGTGTGCACCACCTCGCCTGCCTAATTTTTGTATTTTTAGTAGAGACGGGGTTTCACCACGTTGACAGCCTGGTCTTGAACTCCTGACCTCAAGTACTCCATCTGCCTCGGCCTCCCAAAGTTCTGGGATTACAGGCGTGAGCCACTGCACCCGGCCCAATGCTCCTGGTTTTAACGGTTTGAATGAACGGGGGACGTGAATTCTTGAGAACAGTAACCACGGTGGTGCATTTTTCCCCCTGCACATAACGTACAGCACTCTACCGTTTTGCCAAGCACTTCATGCTCCTAAAATTTCTGTTGCATTGTTGTTTGAATGAATGAATAAATGAGTCTTTTAAAAGTAATTGTAGAAGTTGTAGCATTAAGAAATGAAGAGGGGGACTAGTAAAAATGCATTTTTATAGAGATGTTGGGAAAGGCTTGCTTGAAATTACACGTGGGACTTTTACTAGACAGGCGCTTTGACCAGCTAAGCAACAGGGCTCCCCTCGTGTGGGGCTTTTAGAATGTAGCAACCACTGACACACAGGGAAGGATTATGCCGTCAGGTGAGAAGGTGGCCGACCCTGACTGGCTGGAAGCAGACGCATTCTGGTAGCTGATTGGTCCACAGGTGGCGTGAAGCTTGTCACGTCCTCAGGCTCCCAGCATTCAATCGTAGCCTTTCAGACAGCTTGAAGCCTTCTGTGGAGAGCTCAAAGCCTTCTGTGGAGAACTCAAAGCTGTCCGTGGAGCCCCAGACGAGCCAAAGCCCACCTTCTCCTCGGCCTGAACTGTCTTGAAGATGAGTAACAGTGGGTTTGGGAGCTATGGCAGCATTTCTGCTGCTGATGGAGGGAGTGGAGGCAGTGACCAACTGTGTGAGAGAGATGCAGCTCCTGCTATTAAGACCCAAAGACCTAAGGTCCGAATTCAGGACGTTGTACCGTGTAATGTGAACCAGCTTCTCAGCTCTACTGTGTTTGACACTGTGTTCAAGGTTAGGGGAATTATAGTTTCCCAGGTCTCCATCGTGGGGGTAATCAGAGGGGCAGAGAAGGCTTCAAATCACATTTGTTACAAAATTGATGATATGACTGCGAAACCAATCGAGGCCCGACAGTGGTTTGGTAGAGAAAAAGTCAAGCAAGTGACTCCACTGTCAGTCGGAGCATATGTCAAAGTGTTTGGTATCCTCAAATGTCCCACGGGAACAAAGACCCTTGAGGTATTGAAAATTCATGTCCTAGAGGACATGAACGAGTTCACTGTGCATATTCTGGAAACGGTCAATGCACACATGATGCTGGATAAAGCCCGTCGTGATACCACTGTAGAAAGTGTGCCTGTGTTTCCATCGGAAGTGGATGATGCTGGGGATAACGATGAGAGTCACCGCAGTTTCATCCGGGACGAAGTGCTGCGTTTGATTCATGAGTGTCCTCAACAGGAAGGGAAGAGCATCTATGAGCTCCAGGCTCAGCTCTGCGACCTTAGCCTCAAGGCCATCAAGGAAGCGATTGAATATCTGACGGTCGAGGGCCACATCTATCCCACTGTGGATCAGGAGCATTTTAAGTCTGCTGATTGAGGCAGGGAAAACATCCTTTCCTTTTCCAAAGATCCCTGCATCCATCTGAGAGTAATTTTGACCTGATGACTTTTTAGGAAGTAGGACTAAAAAAAAAAAAATCTCAAGTGGCATTCTTTGTCAACTCGCTGCTTTTCTAACTGCTTTGAACTCTTCAGATTTTCTATATTTGAAGCTCAGAGAGAGATGGTGATGGATAAATTGACAACTCTGTAGGATTTACTAGCAAGCTAATGGAAACATGATGACTTGAGGGGAAGAAAAACTACAGAAAATGTAGAAATGTATTATTTAATTGTGTTGGAGCTTCTTTTCCCAAAAAAAACCAAACAACAACAACAACAAAAAGTCTTGCTTGTTTTTATGTTAGAGTTATTTTCCATGTTTGGATTTAGCGTATAATGATATTATCTCTTGTTCAATATAGTATTTAGTACTTCATTAATTCAAATGAGCTGAAGATATTAATTTGTGAATTCTAATGCTCAGTTCAAACATTTATGTGTGATTTGCTCTCATTACTATGAATTTATGTTTTCTTAAAATAAGATTATACTATGTTTAAATAAATCATTTTTGCCAGGTTATCTTTGAATTTTTTTTTTTAATGTGGTGAAGTTTAATGATTATTTCATACATGACGTGGTATTTGGATGAAATTACAATTTATTGCACTTGCATGGTAAATGGATGCCAGAGTTTCTGTAAGTTTGATGTGCTGGTGTATTATTTATTTTACTAAATGCTCTGTTTTATGTATAACAAGGTAATTTTTAGGAGGTTAGGGAAGCAAGTCATGGGAATATGAAACTTCCTGAGTTTAACACAAATTTATTCAAATGTTTTATTAAAATAGTTTTATAAAATCTTAACTTTCCTGTGTGATTTTTTTTCTAAGTACATTTGAAAAAGCATTTTTGTTTTATATCCTTAAGGATTAATAGTTTTAATTATCCAGATTTTTTTCTTTTCTATATATAATACCAAGAACATATGCTATAGCCTAGTTCTAACAATACATTTTAGTGTAGATTATATAAATTATGTGAGACTTTTAAATAATTGACCATTAACGAAAGCCCTCACTTACCTATGCACTAAAGATGGTATCTTTCAAGGTGTTAAATATTTTACATTAGAGGAAAGAAAAAATATATACTTTTGAATGAATATGTATTGTATTTTATATAATATATGTATATTCATATATAATATATATTCACATAGAAGAGAAGAACATTATTTGTCTAATTGAATCATGAAAACTGAAAAAAAAAATAACTCTTAAATGGAGCATTGCCAGTAATCCGTACTTTCAGGAAAACTTTCAGAAAATGGCCTCTGTCAGTGGCCATTAGAAAAACTTACCACCAATTCTTGCTTAAGCTTTGTGATGCATGTTTTTCTTCCCCTTGAAAGTAATCATAAATGACACTCTTGAAAAACACAAATGAATAACATACTATAAACCTGTTACTTAAATTATCAGACATTGTGAAAATTCTGGTCTTCATAAACCTAAAATATTCGGAACCACTTTTTGTTGAAAAAGGTTACCTGTCCTAGGGAAAATCATATTGGGGGAGAGGCAACAAGGGGCATATATAATACTTAGAATTGTGGAACTGAAAGAAATAGTCTAGCAGATACAGTATTCTTTTGTGATATCACTTACCCAAATTCAGAAACCATGACATCAAAATCTGATATTTATGAGTATAATTATAGGTCGCTCCCATAATTGCTTGAGCTGACTCAGCTGGCCAGTGGATGGGTAGCCACTTTTTTTTCCTACTCTAGGAGCATGCCTCCAGAAGGAGGGGGAAAAAAACTCTTTTTTTTTGTTTTGTTTAGGAGGCCAAACTGCTTTTGTCCCTGCAAACTGATACATTGAGATTTGTACACCTGAATTTAAGGCAGAAGACCAGCCTCTCCCCCATCCTCTGAGGGGCAATGTCCTCTATCTGTGTTCCTTGGGGTTGTTTTAGGCTTTTAAAATTACTACTCCCAACCCTTATTCTTCTGAGTGGAATCATGTGCTTTAGTGGATTCTGCTGCAGGTAAGAGATAGCAGTGGAAAAATAGTAAGTAGGTCTAGATATAATGTCAGTGGAAATAAAAACATTTTTAGGCAGAAAACAATCACTGGATTGTTTTATACAAGCATATTTAGTCCATGTTAAAGGGTGCAGATTTTTAAAGTTCATTTTCAACACGCACCTGGCATGCATACTTTCTCAATTTTGTTCAGATTGGGAATGACTTGGCTAATATCCCCTTTCTCCAAGGTCCTGCCCTGATTGTTAGCCACACCTTTTGAGGATAAGATACAAATCCTGGGGACATACTATTGACTATTTTGGGCAGGGACATTGAAGCCTGAGGAACCTGAAAAACGTAATTGATGATTATAATCCACCCGAGGTTTTTTCCTATGGCTCACAGGCTTATGAAATATATGTATTTATATTGAGGTTGATTCTGAATTAACTATGAATAAATATATTTGAAAGTGTTTTCAAGGCCAATATAATAATCTTACTATGGTCATAATTATTAGTGATCATTTTGTTACTTTTACCTACTAAATTTAGTAACATTTGGAGTAGAGGCTGAAAAGCATAGATTCTTATATTTTTTCAATTTCTGTTTACTTTTGATAACAGCAATTTAAAAAAGGTAACTAGCAAGAATTATATTTGTTCATGAAACCTTTAGTGAGTTCCTACTATATGCATTTAAGTGTTAACTTTAATTTTGATGAGTTTAAATTTAATTGATTTCTGAAATGCTTATTAAAGATAGTAATAGTTAACATTTTAACATTTATTTAATATTTATTATCTCCCAAGTACTGTTCTAAGAGTGGGAGTTGTGTGTATGTGTGTGTGTGTATGTGTGTGTATGTGTATGTATGATTCCGGTGATGCCTAGATTTACATTTTCAGCACAGACCTCTTTTTTTTTTTTTTTTTTTTTTTGAGATGGAGTTTTGCTCTTGTTGCCCAGGCTGGAGTGCAATGGCACAATCTCAGCTCACTGCAAACTCTGCCTCCCAGGTCCAAACGATTCTCCTGCCTCAGCCTCCAGAGTAGCTGGGACTACAGGCGCCTGCCACCATACCTGGCTAATTTTTGTATTTTTAGTAGGGCGGGGTTTGCCATATTGGCCGGGCTGGTCTCAAACTCCTGACCTCATGATCCGCCTGCCTCGGCCTCCCAGAGTGCTGGGATTACAGGTGTGAGCCACCCACCCGGCCAGACCTCTCTCTTGAAATTGAGACTCCATTTCCAAATGTCTTATTGGATGATGTATAGGCATTTTTAATACATTAAAAAATAATGAAAAATTATGTGTGTGTGATATGTGTTTTTTATATATATGTGTGTGTATATATATGTGTGTGTGTATATGTATATGTATATATATGGCATTTACTATGTTGTAAGACCTTTAAATATACATATACAATCAGGATAACATTATTAGTATTGTTCCTATTTTGTAGGCAAACTTTAGGCTCAGAGAGGTTAAGTAATTTGCTCCATATTAAAGTTGCGTGACCAGCAAGTGTCAGTGTTAAGATTTAAGCCCAGGCTTTGTATCTATAGAGCCTAGGCCCTTAACAACTAGTTTGTACAGCGTCACAATAAGGAAAGTCTATTAAAATAGTATTCTTTCATTGTTGTTAGTATTCTTTCACTGTCGTCACATACTAAATATTTTGACTTTCTTTCCTTAAAATTTGTCTCATTTAAATGAAAAAAACTGAAAACTTTCAGCAAATGTATAGAAGATAATATAAAAACACCTTTGTACTCACCTATCAGCTTAAGAGACAAAACGTTATTTTTTGCTGTCGTAGAGAACTTAGTTGAATAACTTGGGTGATTTTTTTATGATACTGTAATACCATTTGGGACTATATTTTCATTGATTTAAAAGATCATCTGAAATGCTACATTTTCTCTAAATCTATGCTTGTAGTTTTTGCAATATAATATCTTAAGAATATATATCAGTGTATTGAGAAGCTTATTTTTTTTTCTGATCACATAGCTGTGTGTAAATTGGGACTTCTTTGCCCTATCTATTGTGGATCATACTTCTAGTAATTCTAACACTATCTCTGTGATATTTATTCCAATTTGCCATCATGTGATAAATTACAAAAACAATTTTTTAACATTAAGAGTTAATTTCCTCCCGGGCGTGGTGACTCACGCCTGTAATCCCAGCACTTTGGGAGGCTGAGGCAGGCGGATCACGAGGTCAGGAGATCGAGACCATCCTGGCTAACACGGTGAAACCCCATCTCTACTAAAAGTACAAAAAATTAACTGGGTGTGGTGGCTCGTGCCTGTAGTCCCAGCTACTCGGGAGGCTGAGGCAGGAGAATGGCATGAACCCAAGAGGCAGAGCTGGCAGTGAGCCGAGATTGTGCCACTGTACTCCAGCCTGGGCAACAGTACAAGACTCCGTCTCAAAAAAAAAAAGTTAATTTCCTTTGGTAATACCTTAAATTGGAGGAGTTTAATAAATAGCACTTAATATTTTATGTGGTTTGTTTTTATGTATCACATGGATAATCCTACAAAGGAATAACAAAACTAAATTCCCCTTGTCCATATGGGGCTTATACATATGTAGCTTACATTCTAGTACAGGAATTCAGACAGTTTTTTTAAAGGTGTATATCAAATGTCAGGTTGTGATATGAACTGAGGAAGAGATGTTGCTATTTTATATTAGATGATCAGTGAAAGCCTCCCTCACTCTGATGACATTTGCACAGAGGTCTAAAGGAAGTGTGGCAGTGAGCTATGTTCACCGGAGGAGGAATGTTGTTAGAAACAGAAAACAGCAACAGCAAATACCAAAGATGGGAGCATGCTTGGCATGTTCTAGGAATGTCAAGGAGGCTAGCATGCTGGAAGCAGATAATGTAGAGCCTAATTGACCATTCAGAAGACTTCAGCTTTTACTTTGAGTGAGCTGGGACACTGTTAGAGAACTTTGAGGAATGGAATGGCATGAGATGACCTACATTTTTAAAGGATAGCCCTGGATGGAAGCAGGGAGAACATGTTGTACGTTACTCAGGCAGAAGGTGCCACTGACTGCAGAGGTTTCTAGTTGGCAAAGTGACACCCCAGGATCCTGTGACAATATGATAAATCATTCTAGTTCTTGATCACTCCTCTGTGGTGACCTTGGTCCAGTCAATGGTCCTCAGTTTCTTCATATGTAAATGGGATTGGAGCCTTGCAACTCTAAGCCTCTACGTTCTATATTCTCTTTTGCTTAGTTTTAATCCTCTTACCTTTGCTATTGGAACTAGATTAGTGTTTAGGTATTGTTTTGAAGAGTGAGAAGTATGTTCTTCTATAAGGCTAGAGGATTTCCTAATGTTCCATTATTTTTTTGTATTTATAAATGTATTTAACCACCCCCAGACAGATATTTATAATTTCCTTTAAATACGGATGAAAGCGTTCCTAAAACTCTGTTGCATAACTGTTTTTGAAACCTGGTGTTCATTAGAACCCACGACGTTGTCCTCTCGTGGGTAATTCTCCTCCCTACCACAGTTTTAATTGGTTTATTTTTGTTCAGCCCCTCGTAAAATTCTAAAAATATGTATAAATAAGTGCACACACACACACATACACACATACATATACATACTAACAGTTTTACCAAACATCCTCAAAGCAGTCATTTTGGAATATTAAGTGGAGTCATGAATTTCAAATTCACATGGTATTTAATCACTCAGGTGATAAAGGCTCTAAGAAAGTCATTTTGGTATATTATTTTCTGCTAAAGCAAATACTTAAAATTCCCTTTTATAAGCCATCATTAACTGGTCCTATCTCAAATCACTCTGTTACTCTACATTTCCCTCAACATTTATTTTTTACTGTATATATTTACCAGTACCTGTTTATATTCTGTAATAGTTTCGTGTATGCATATCTGTTTTTCTCGTTCACATTTTAGTCTCCTCTGGGGAAGGAACCCTCTTACCCTCTTATTTGTCTCATGGTGGCTGGTGCTGTGTAATTTATATATACTAATGTGTGATTTGATGTGGTTATTGACCCACCATCAATAACAACCTCTGCTTTTCCA